ATGATTTTTAAGCAAATTTATTTAAATTTTTACCTATACCAACCTGCTCATCTAAAAATTTTCAAATGTTCCTCAGTTATAATTTTAAATAGATGGATGTTATACGAAAAAAATTTAATTTTCTTGAAATTAATCAATAGTGCGCCTAAAAAATCTGAAGCTTTATTTTCCTCGGTAATTTATTTTATTGGTACAATTCTGATAATTCAGGGTGATCAAATATGAAACTGTTTTTTCACATATACAAATTTATAATCTAAATTTACTATCATAAGTGTTGTAGAAAACAAATTTTAGGATGCATAAAACATCTATTGATACAGAGATTTAGGTATGTTAACAACCGAACCTACAGAGCGAGGAAACCGTAGTTGAATCAGGACAACCGTTATCCCAACTTAATAATCATTGCCAGTAGTCTTCATTAGAATTGAATTGGTTCAGTTGGATGATTCTAACGAATATCAATTATTGTCTGGATTAATTAGCATTTTTTAACCTAAATGTTCAATAAAAATGTATAATAAACTAATTCAATTTCTTTCTTACAAGACTTATTTGTTGCAAAATTAACATGTGTATAATCGACGAAAGATGGCAACATAGAAATATGACAAGTTTACGAAACGATATTATAAGTAAGCCTATTATTATTCTATTTAGCAACACATTCATTAGGTTTGGAAAAAATCCTTAACTTCTACTCTGACCGCCCCCTCTTTCCCTTGTATATTTGTTGGTTTAGAAAATGTTTATTCTTAAGCTCAAAATCGTTCATGAATCTTATTGTTGTATTGTACCATTTTTTTTTTCTAAAATGATAGATTGTCATTTATAATGAAAATCACGATAGTAGCCTATAGATTTTATTACAATAAAAATATTTTTAAAAATCTAATTATTACAATGAACCCCTTACCTTTAATATCATTAACGGGTATTGTCAGACGAAAACCATCTATATAAAATGCAAATTATTGCATTGCACCGTATATCTTCGAATTATTAAGCTATGGCAATGGAAAGTATGATAATCCATCAAATATGAGTTTAGAAAGCCACTTAATTTAAGAGTCAATTAAATTTTTAAAAAATATGTTTTCAAATATGTTCTTTCATCTTGTGTCGTCTCTCATTCCTCTTCACTCCACTGGGCGATTTTTTATTAATTCATTTTACAAAATAACATGTATCCTTAGGGACAGGTAATTCTTATTTCAGTGTGGAGAGGAACCGGATGAATTTTGAAAAAAAAAATCTTCCAAGCTGAAGATAATTGCCATCAAATTTAAACAATTCTATGATAATATCCGAAATAAAGCAAGTGGCATTTTGAGGCTTTTGTGTTAATTATTTTGATATGCTGATGAACTTCATATTTTTTTTTTTATTACATAATTCTACGCCGAGATATTTAAAAACTGTATCAATTTTACAATGGTAGTTTCATTTTTAAATTCGCAGCTCGTTTACGCGATTCTCGTAATGTTGATGCACTGTTGCGCTTAATTAAAATCATTAATTTGATTTTCACCGGTTGTAATATAATTGTGATATCGCTTCGAATGATTGTCAGCCTTCACACGCATCACGCAGAGCGCGTTAGGAGCCGAAAGGACAGTTCTCGATAGTTTTGGAGCTGACTAGCGTGAGAGAGGTGTGATGAGCGGTTAGGATTATATGAAGAAAGTTGGGCTGTCCGTTTCGCTTACATTGTTTAGAAAGCATCGGGTCGCAATTAGTGACTACTCTCTACGCCGCTCTGCCCCACCGCTCTTGAGCATGTACTACACACCTACGAAATAGCGGATCCAGGATTTAATTTGGTGGGCTTCAGCCCGAAAGCTTTTTTTTTTTATATATATATAATTAATTTGAAAAAATGAAGTAAGAAACTAACTACCTATATGACATGTTGTTGAAGTGATTCTTGAAGTCCTATTAAATGTAATTACACGAACAATAATACTTTAAGAGATAGTTTTTAATATTTGTTTCTATAAAACATGGTTATATTTTACCATTTGGGAGGGGAGAGGCTTCAGCCCGAAAGCCCTCCCCGTGGACCCGCCTGTGCACTACGATAGGCCAGGACTAACTTAATTGAGGCCGGGTGCGATCCATGAAATTATCCGATCCCGGAATCGGTCCACTGCAAATTTATTTTTTGCTTAGCACCTGTGCATGTCAAATACGGATTTGACAACTTCAGCGAGAGTTATTCAGGGTAGAAAGGCATCTTGAAGTTTGTTGGCATAGTGAAAATTTTAGGACAGTAACCTAAAAGTTTTATAAGATAAATAAACCCAGGCTTTAGTTCGGGATACGCCTCCTGGCAAAAAAATACACAGAGGTGCTTAAAAGCTATAAGTTCCTCCATCAACATTTTTAATGGTTTATGAATTTTTCGAACGAACCATATTTTTGTCGGGTTCTATTTGAAGAAACTTTCAGATACGCGGGGGAGGTGAGAGGGAGAAGAAATATCATCTAGTATAAAGTATCACTTGCAGTGGTCGATTTTGGTTAAAAGGTTACGATAGTATCTTAGGTAAACACTTACTCTAAATGAGTAATTTCAGTCCCGTATGCCTTTTCGTTTTTGAGCCAGGCTGTTCAAACATACACATACATACAGACTATTTGGTGGCACTTCGTTATTTGCTAACAGAAAACCTTAAAACTTGGTTTAAATTCCAAACCTTTCCAAAAATCGTTAGTCCCATTCATCTTAAGTAATTCCTGATAGACTTCTGAAGATAACTCAAACAAGATGGTCCTAGGAACTTCACAGATTGAACTGTTTTGTCGAAATTAGCAGTTATTACTTGGTCAGCATTTTTATGTTTATCTTGTAAATTATGATTGTTAATTATAAATAAATCCTTGTATTTTACAATACCTTAACGGAATCACAGCGATTTTTTTCTGTATAATATGTTCGTTTTAACACTGAAGTTGTTTATTTTATTATTATTTCACTTTGTTTGCTCATACATTTGTTTAATCTTTTTCACTCTTCATCTACAATGACAGGTAAAAACGTTGTCCCACCAATGAATCCTTTGAACTTGAGTGTTTTCAGTAAAAATTCCAAAACAGGGTCATATGAAATCACTTTAAGTGCTTGTACCTTACTTAACCGTGACATCCTTCTGAAAAGGTTTTTATCTTTTAAACCATGACAATAAAACCGTAGAAAAGAGGTATAACAACCTTGAACCAAGTTAAAAAATCAGCAAGATAATGCTGCATTTATCGAATAAATGCCGAGATAACTAGCGGATTCAAGGGCTTATTGGCTAAAGCCTTCCTCCCCCAAAATACAAGAAAATAATTTTACGTGGATTCTCATAAAATCGAAATAATTAAAACCAAGAGCTTCGGATTAGTGAAAAATTCCGATTACCGAACGGAATTTTCTTAAAACTCATAGTTAATTGTTATTAAATTAAACAATAAAATTTCGTAGTGAAGATTAATTTAATGAAAAGTTTAATTATATTCTCCAATGAAATAATTCAGTAGAATAAATAAAATAGCTTTCAAATTGTATTGTGTGAGATACTTCGTTTTTATTTTAAATAAAAGGAGTTGGTATTTTTAAATAACAGTTTTATTGAATGTATGTCTTTATATGTACCACGCACATAAAATCAAATTTCGTTTTTTTTTTTTTATTTTAAAGTGTTGGTTCGGATTATAGAATGGTCCGGTTCAGCGAGAGTCAACTATATTTCATTGAAATATTTGATTGATCTTAGCCTAGTACTTAAACAACCTCATTATGTTTTCTGTTTAAATTATAACGCAGGTATTTCTGCTACTAAATATAAGCAAGTGTCCAGAAAAAATAGAAAAAAATTATCTTTAAATTATAAAATTAAAAAAAAAAATAAGGTGTTTGTTTTAGAACATACGATAGAAGTAAAAACATCAACAAGGCGAGATTAATAATATGAAATATAAATTATTAATTATGACTTATTATAAAGAGGATGAAATGCTGAACATTTCCCTCGCTTACAGTAAGCACATCCGATTTTTAATTTCTGAGATATTTTGATCCATATCTTCCATAAAAGTCATTAACATTTGGTTTTCTACACTATTTTTTCCTTTTTGTCTCTTTAACATTATAAGGTACAATTTTGAAAAATAGCCCATTACAGAGAGGATGAAATGCTGAACAATTTCCTCGCGTATGCACGTCCGATTTTTAGTTTCTGAAATATTTTAATCCATATCTTCAATAAAACTCGTGATCATTAGGTTTTCGACACTATTTTTTTCCCTTTCACCCTCTCTAACATGGCGTCGCGTTAAGATACAATTTTGAATAATAGCTCATTACAAAGAAGATGAAATGATGAACATTTCTTTCGCTAACAATATTCAAGATTTTTAGTTTTCGTGATAATTTAATCCATATGCAAAAATACTCTCAATTAGTCGACTCCAGCCGACTTTACTCGAGCGTTCTGACGGCTTACGAGAGCGATCTGACGGTCCAATTTAGTAAATTCTCCTTTAAAAAAGTGCAAATCGCCACTGAAGAAGTTTTCACTTCAAAAATTAGATCTCAAAAATAAAAACCTGAATCCGCCACTTTTTACGATCGCAATTTTTAATTACTTCCACTTATTTATAAATTAAATATACCATAAGAGAAAGTATTGCGACCCTAAAAAACTTCCTATCCAACAACATACAAAATATTCAGTCCCTTCAAAATTAAATCCTGAATCTGCTAATGGCCGATATCAGAGGTAATATTTTCATACGTAACCATGAATTTATCACGAAGTATACTGTACATATATAAGGAGTATACCATGTATGCACCAAGTTCCAACTATGACAATATTTTACTTGAAGTGACAATTTCAATATTTGAATAACAATAATATAGTGCTGTGTATAAACTTCAACTCTGTGATCATCGATATGATTACATTGCAACCTACTGGAACTAGAGTGAAACTTGGAAGTACAAAGCAATGAAGTTCCCCATTGTGGTCGGAAGGTTCCAGTTAACTGACTTTGTCATAGTTATGAAAGCTGTCAGCTACTCCTAAGTTACGAAATAGATATTGGATCATACGCCGTCTTCCTTTTTCAACAATTATGTTTAGATATTTACTAAATTTGAAAGGTAATATTATATTCTTCAAAAGGAAATTTGACTGTAATTAATGCCTCAAATGTAATAAAATCACTGAAATTTAATTTTGTTGATTTGAGTTCTAATTTTTACGCAGATAGAGGTATTCGAAACCATAGAAAAAAGAAACCTTACTCGCCATTTTGGTTCAAAGCCACCGACCCCTGAGAGAGTACTTCAGGACAGAGGAGCTGACTGCGGGAAGGTCCTGCAGTTGAAGCTGAAAGTGGGAAGGATGTGGGGCAGCGGGGCGGGGAAAGTATACCCAGGACCTCGCGAGGATTCCTTGCGGACCATTATCTCCCCTGTCCCAAATATCAACATCTTAACTAACATAGATCCATCGATAAGATATTAAATTTTTTTGTTTAGCGTGTTTTACTTTTGCATCTCTATCCAAAGGTCATTGGAGTGTTTTAATATTTTACACTCGTTTCATAACCGGTGGAACACGGTTTTGGGGGGTATCGATAATGTCCGCAAGGGTGCCCGCTCCTTCCAAGATCGATGGCGCATCCTCCTCCCAAGAAATGGTTCCTTCCGAAAATTTAAAATCATACAAAAATGTTTGATTGGAATCGCCTTCTGGGCATCCTTGAATGCCCAGTATTTATAAGCATATATATATTTAGACAGTACAAAAAAATACTATCATTACAACTTATGAAGGGTCTTGGGTTCAATTCAGCTTGAGTTCAATACTCTATACTATTTCAAGGCCAACAGTTGTGCTGGTGACTGATGTTTAAGGCTTTGCCCAAATATGCAACCCCTCCTATTTGTGTTAGGGGGTAGGCAATTAGGATCTAAATTGAGTTTCAACTTTTTTCTCTTATCTCGGAAAAAAAATTATAAACCATTAAAAAAGAGAGAGAGAGTCATATAACACTTCAATTGATTTTAAAATTCTTTTCAGTTCACTCAGGTAAACATTAATTAATTTACCATATGTTTTATAAACAAAAATAAGGAGGAAATACAACCTCAGTTACATAGCCCCGCTGCTTTTCTCTCTTCCTTTCTCGGACAGGATGATTCGAAATTATTCAATCCCCATTTTTCTAGTTATTATTAAAATGCACCAGTCCAAAAATTCTGAAATATTTCAATAAACTGTTTGATGTGTTAACTGACAATATACAATAATATAATGAATGAATTCTCTCGTAATTTGAAATTTGAATATAATTCTTAAATTTCTTTAGAGACTTTTCATTTCAAAAGACAATTTAATTATACATCGATATAAGTATTTTAGCCAAAAAATGTAAAATTAATTTAAGTAGCAATTCTCGTAAATCGATTTTAGCGATAAAGTTGCGGTAACATCCCCGAAATATACCTAACTTAAATAGATAATTTCGGCATTGTTGATATTTTTAGTTTTGAGCTATTCTCTTCATATATACTCAGTCAGACTTTTTTGAGAGTCTTATTTATTTGGACTGAGAGGATCTTAAAACAAATATTTCCGTTAAAAAATTCGGATTCGAAGTTGTTCATGATCACGATGCAATTCCCTTATGTTAGTAATAGGCAGGCCCGACGATATAATATAATATTTTAGTTACATACCTTATAAAAGTCTTCAGCTGTTTTAATGGTAAATTTTATACTATAAGGGACCCGGAAAAGATTATCCCAGAAGCCCTTCGTTTCTTTCCAGGGAATTGTGGATACGTGAAAGTAAATACAACTTAAGATATTATCTCCTCTCGATTCAAGTATTCATTTTAAATATTTCAAGACGATTCGCTATATCTTACATAATTGTCTACAAGGTTTCCACATACTTGAAATAATTTTACTCACAGCTGCTGCAAGTTATAAGGATTTTGATATTGTTTTTTCTATTGATACATCCTGATATATCGTAGTTTTATTCAACATTCCCTTTAGTATTCATGCAACCTATTTTTAAAGGGAAGAGGAAGGACGAACGCTGTTAGTAATCGCACTGGCACAATAGGTGCCAATTTGTGATTCACTGAGCATAACGTCACGAAGCTGTTACAATATTCATTTTTATGAATCGGAAATGTTCGTCAACGGCGACCAATTTCATATCCGTCGAGAGTTCTCAAATCGATTTCATTTCGTGCATACAAAATGTATCACCGTCTCAAATGATACAGGTCGTTAACATTGACGGGGAGGGAGGAGAGAGGGTGAGGTAGGGCTTCAGAAGACCATTAAAAAAATAATAAAAGAAAATTCCAAAAAATAAACTCCCAAAGGTTGGCCATGGAAATTGTATGGTATTAAAGCAGCCTTGCATGTCCTAAGTGGACCGCTGAAGGAACCAAAATCTGGAAAATAAAAGCGGGAACCAAAGGCGGGAAAATAAATAAATATAAGACACTTTAGAATACTTTTGTACTAGCTCCGGAACGGATATAAAATGCAACATCTGTTACTTCTATTGAACGGACAGCAGACTGCTACTCCAGCCATGTACTCGTATATGCATTGGTGCAGGCTCTCCATTTCGATTAGAGAGACGATGGACACAAAATAAAAGTGGCGAGTTTTCACAAAACTTGTTAAATGATATATAATGTTAATGGCATAAAATCAAACAATATAATACTGTATATTTAAAAATAAATTAAGTTTATGTACTTGCAGTGTTTTTTATATTTAACTAATTTATTTTTTTGCCCATGTATATGTTTGAAAATATATGAACAAAACAATTGAATATATTGCGTGTTATTTTATATTAAACATTAGGGGAAGAGGGTGGCTTCTATAACATAGTTGCATATCTTGAACTTATGCAACAAAAAATGAATAATCGTAAAAACTGAAAAATATTTATGATTCCAAATGAATAATGTTAGTAACTGAAACATATTTAATTCCTTAATCTTTACAACCTCAAAATCAAATAACATTTCCATGGTCTGACTAGCTATGTAAAAATGTTCACACGAAATATCCTCTATTAAAGATATTTGTACCATATTAACAATAAAAGCATGACATCCACAACAACATATGGCTAACCACCTAAGGTACGAAAAACCAGATTGACCTCATGCTGTTGTACAAGAGAAATCGAAGCATCATCTAAGGCTTCAGAAGCTATCGTGCTGCTAACTTAGATTCTAACTTAACTCCTTATTAGGATCAAAGTATGTCAGAGACTAAAAGGAATAGTGAATTAAATGGAAATAAACAGTTATGGAACGTAATTTAAAACGATACTGATGAAAAAACTTCGTATGATTCGTGTATTTAAAAATATTTATTCATTTTATTATAATTTTAGTTTTGTAATTGAATACATATAGTGTTTTTTTACGCAATTGGTCATACAGATAAATCATGAAAATATATGTAATAATTGTTTTTCATTTGTTTTTTTTTCTCAATAAATTTTTTTATACAAAGGCAATGGAGTTTTTTTACAGATGTTTTAGTACCTATAAATTTAGTTTCTTAATGCAATTGTTTATCTATATGACTAAATGGAATAGATTAGGTTTGAATAAATTATTACACAACATTCACTCACGACATCGCGTCTTGAAGTCAGATTTCATTGACAAATTCGTCCGAAAAATAGTTGGCATAGAAAGATGTACTCATCTGTTTACCAAAATGAGAAATGAGAGGAGTAGACCGTGGTACAAACCTCTTTTTATCAAATTATTAACATCTGCCAAAAACTTCGTAAATAGCTTCACATCATTATAACCTACAATTTTTTTATTTATGAAAATTCTAGGAATTCCGACGTTTTCAAACTGTATATTTGCAAACTTTGTCTGTTTACTCGTGAACACCCATTTGCTTTCCACTTGAACCGTAAGATGATTTGATCACAATATCGAGAATAAAAGTGGCCTACAAAAATATTAGACCGTTCAGTGTGACCTCCACCCAACTAATGAGGTCAAATAGGCCAAACGACTCATGAGTTTTGTTGGCCACCTTTTTTTTTTTTCTTTTGATTTTGTGATCAGATTATTTTATAATTCAAGTGGAAAGCAAATAGGTAATTAAATTAATTAATTTAGTGAGAAAACACCCCATTTCTGAAAAAAAATTTTAGATAAAAAATTTGTAGGTTACGATAAAATGAAGCCATTCACGAAGTTTTAGAAGTTTGATAATAATTGGATAAAAAGGGGTCTGTACCGCGGATTAAAAGCGTTAATGACGGGGATTTTATTGCATACGTTTCTCCTTTTTTTTTTTTTTCAATATATTTGGAATTACTGAAATAATGCATATTGTTGTGCTTATAAGAATAAATACACGACCAATGTCGCATTTCGGGTTGTTTTTGTTTCATCCCTCATAGCCGTGAAGCGACCCATTGCTCGATGAGCCGCGGCGGACACGGTGACGTCCTTTAGTAACAACTTGCCCTTGTCCCGATCTTGTCTTATAGTTTTTCTTTTTCTTTTTGTTTGTATCCTTGTATATATATTTCATAGAGAAATCAGTTTTTATTATCGTATTGTTTCTCACATAAATAGTAAAATTCTGATGATCTGAAGCAGGCTTGAAGGATTCAGGTGAACAGGATGAACTTGAATACATCTGTATTTGATGCTGTAGTTTATTTTTAAAGCTTCGAATAAGACAATTGCATCATGTTTTGTTACTCCCATAAAACTTCGGAATAATTATGGCTAAACTATTGAGGAAAATCGAGCTCATTACTGATATCATCACAAATAATGATTTCACTTAACTGGTCACTGAAGATTACTCTTACAACGTGTAAGAGTGGAAAATGGCAGTTGTGCCTACTCATTTTAATCTGAAATAGAAGAGAGCAGGAACAAATGGTGGGACTGGGAAAATAATCAAAACTTTAAAAGATATATTAAGAGAGAACAAGGATGGTAACAAAAATATATTCAATTGAACTTCAAGTAAATAAAAACAATGCAGGAGAGTATTCAACTTAGAATGTGGAAATAGTAGTTGGGATTCACTGAACTTAATGTTGTTCTGTGTTTCCATCTTTCTCAATTGCCTGTTTATTCCAATGATAATTAATTTTATTCAGATTTTTTTAAAGACATATATTATTTAAATTATATGATCTGCTCAAAGAATAGATTTTCTATTTAATCAAATGCATTTAAATTTTGGTAAACAACTCTGAAATATATTAAAAATGTTGAATGAGTATCATTCCAAATTGTTTATATGAAATTATTTATACAATAATATTCATCATATATTCTTTTTACTATTTTATTAAAAATTACTACCGATACAGATGATACCAAATTCAAGGCTTGAAGAAAATAAGTTGGTCTCTTCACATGGAAGGATCTGCAGAAGGGGCTCTGAGTAATGGTGGTGCAGGTATCTTTTCAACCACCTCCCAAATTTCAGAGCCGGTTGGAAAATGGCTTCAAATTTCGAAAGTAAAATTTGTACCATTTTGCTGGCTTTAAGTAGACTAGTAGAAATAGAAGCCGAAAATAAATAGATATTTTAGTTTACTCCAAGGCAGCAATTATGGCAGCTTCTATAGCTGATGTACTGATGTTTGATTATTGCCTGTTGGTTGATGATCATAGAAGAACTGTTGTTGATGATAAGAGGAGTTATACTCCAACAGATCCCAGGACCCTGAGGATGTGCATCAATGGCATGACAGATACTATAGCGAAGGAAGGAGTTACAAAAGTCCAGACGGAGAGTAACTTAACACGCCATATACCACGGAATGAAATTGAGAAATGCCTACGTTACATTGCTGCTTATGTTAAAGAATGGGTCATGTTATTTGAGGAAGATAGATGTATCCCAATCATTAAACCATGAAGAGACACAATTGCAGAAATCAGAATGATCACCGGCCATGATTATTTTAAAAAATATTTATATAAAATAGTCGCAGTGGCATCCCCTGTCCCAACGGTGATCTCTACAACAATGGGTTCACTGGTAGTTAGTAAATTAAGTATTAAGTATTATATTTTTTTCTTGATGTATGAAATTATAAATAAATATTTTCTGTTTAGGTGACAGGTGGTTAGTTTCATGCCTTGGAGTCCTTCACCTCAGTAAGGGACTTTTTTACCGAGTGGTGCCAGCCGACCAGAGTTATAGCACAGACTACGCAGGGGTCTTCAGGTTCAGGCTGTGGTGGTCCGGACAGTGGGTTGAAGTCTTGGTGGATGATAGGTTACCAACTATCAATGGACGGTTAGCATTTATACAGACCATACATAGCGACCAGTTCTGGCCGGCACTTCTTGAAAAAGCATATGCCAAGTGAGTTTCAAAAAAATATTTAAATACGAATATTGATTGTTCATAAAAAAATCCAGCATGAATATTATTACAAAATTAATTTAAAAAATATTTCCGAAATAGCCTTATTTCCTATAGTAAATGAATATGGATCCACAAAACATATAAGATGTTTATTTGATTGTTATTTAAAGGTATAAAATCTTTAGGTCAGCAACACCCGCAGTTTGAAAACATATAAGATACCTCATTCGTTTTTTACAGCCGTCATTTTCGTTGTTGTTTTATTGTTTTTTAGCCGGATGGGTATTAAAATATTTTTTAACTCCAGTCTTCGAAAATAATCTTAAAATTTGATTTAATGATAATAAGCAAATTAAAAATTATTTTTAATGTATTTGATAAAAAAAAATTTCCTTAATTTCAAACATTAAAAAAATATATGACTAACAAATCCTTTTACTAATAATCAAATAATTATATTTTATTTCAAAAACAAATTAAAATCATTTGAAAACAAAAATGTTTATTAGAATTACATTATAAATCTGATAGAATGAAAAAGAATTTTTTTTTAATTGATTAGTCAATATAATCCACTATAAATTAGAACTAACTAATTAAAAGTAAAAAGAATATTAGTATTGACTTTAAATTTTCATTTAAGTAATTTTCCTATCTGGGGCTAGCGATTCTAAATGGTGTATAAGATCTAACTAATATTTTCTTGCCCTTGCTCTTGATAAAAAAACAAAACATGCAAGTCAGAAGTGCTCTCGTGGGCAAATAGGAAAACCTCTCTCTAATCCATTTATAGATAAAAATAAAATTGAATTTGGTTCAAGAAAGGAAGTAATAATAATATATCTAAAGCTAAAGGAAAATTGGACTACTGAAATTTATTGACAAACAAAACAAATAAAAATATGAAGTTTATATCGAGGTATGAGCCAAAATGCTTATGGATATATCTCTTCCGGGTTCCCGGCAAACATAAATCTTATTCAAATTTTAATTTTTCATTTGTTAACATATTGCCAGTAATATCTGACTTAATGGTATGACTAGCATAACAAGCAGCTTTGACAGTTGCATCCATTATTGATTGATGTCAGACAAAGGGATTTATTAAGTAGGGCAATATTCAAACTATGATGGAAAAGTTATATTGAGTTATCAGTAGCCAAACAGTATCATTCTCTATTGCTTAGGTGTTGTTCTATCACGGTAACAAATATAAAATCAATTTACTTCTTTCTATTTCTTTTGTTCATTTAGATAGATTAATAAATCCTTATAATTTATTCAAATTCTATAAAACCTTTTTAATTCTTTAATTTATTACAACTTATTAATCTCAAATAAAATTGAAGCAGCAGCAACATGATCACTACAGTTTCTCCTTTATTTATTTATTTAATACACTTCTCTGCCTGTTAGGCAACAGGGGTGTTTATAGTATATTTGTATACATACTTGCATTATGAATCACTCCTATAAGCAAACAATGTTTTTTCTATATTATTGTGCAAACTATTCTAGATTCAGCTATCTTGTTTATCTTGCTCTTCAGCTCTTCCTGGTTTAGCTCCTTATCTGCTGCCCAAGGAGAAGGTAGGACCAACTAGTTCTTTCCTTTACACAAAAAGGCCTTGTAGTACAGCAATTCTTCTTGGTCCATCAGAAGATGGAGCTCTTTCTCCCTCAGCAGCTTAGCCATTAGTGGCTAATTTTGGCACTGCAGAAAATATATTCTCATTACAGTCAATAATAGACGACTCTAAAATGAGAAAGAAGGAAATCCATGTAACGTTTATGGATATTGCCAAAGCTTTTGATAATCTGAGCCATAATGCACTTTATAGAATCTTAGAATGGAAGGGTATGCCAGCTGGACTTATTGGTTACATGAAGGGGCTATATAGCAAATGTTATACCCGCATTACAGACAAAAAGCAGCATACGGATCCTATTGTATGCGGAAGAGGTATAAGACAGGGTGACCCATTATCCCCTAGTCTCTTTAACATGGCAATGGATTGGGTAATCCATTCCCTTCTAGATGGAATAGGCTACGATATGGGAGGAACAATGGTAAACTGCCTGGCATTTGCAGACGACCTAGTCTTAATCACATCCTCATCGAAAGGCATGAAAAGATTACTATCGGATGCAGCTGCAGCTATTCAAGATCTGGGAATGGAATCCAAGCCGGCCAAATGCTTTAGCTTTTCTCTCGTCAAGGCCGTCAATTCTAATGTTATGAAGGTTGATAACAGATATCATTTCGTAGTAAATGGCGCTAGAATCAAGCAGTTGGGTATCTTGGATTGCTGGAAATACCTAGGAGCGAAATTTTCGTTGAACAACATGAATGCCGAAGGGATTATCGATGAATTATCATTATTGCTGCACAAAACAAACACTGCACCCCTAAAACCTCAACAAAAATTAGTGACTTTGAGAACTTATCTCATCCCGAAATTCATTCATCTCCTCACACTGAGCCCAAGCAAAATGAATGAGTTGAGAAAGTTGGATATCTCAACGAGAGCGGCAATACGTTCCTGGCTGCGACTGCCTCAGGATACCCCTACTCAGTATTTCCATTCTGCTTGTACTGATGGTGGTTTGGGAGTAATGAGCTTTAGCAGTGCTATACCCTCACTCAAGCTCGCGAGGTTACGACGTATGGAGTACTCTGGTTGCCCAGTAGCAAGAGCCGCCTATCATTCCTCCTTTATCACTAAGGAAATGAGAAAACTCACAAGCAACCTCACGAAAATGGGCCTCAACGCGGAAAACACTTCCAGTGAAGAACGAAAGAAAACGCTGTCCATGAAGTTATATCGTAGCGTTGATGGTAAGGCATTAAGGGAGTCAAAAAACTGCCACCCATCAACTCATTGGTTGACAGACTACGCGGCTCCGATAACCGGACGGACCTTCATACAGACGGTAAGAACTCATATAAATGCCCTCGCGACCCGAGTGAGATTATCCAGAGGACGTAGGGCTTTTATGCCGACCCAATGCAGAGCTGGGTGTCCTGCAAGCGAAACTGCCAGCCATATTATTCAACATTGCATTTTGTCTCACGGTAGTAGAGTGCGCCGGCATGATACAATAGTGAACATGTTGGAAATTGCTCTCCAAAAAAAAGGATACAGGGTCACAAAGGAGCAAATGTTTGTTGGTAATAGACGAAAGTGGAAGCCAGACCTGGTGTGCTCAGGACTAAGCGGACACTTCATTATAGATGCACAGGTCGTCGGGAATAACCCTAGCACCACTCACTGGAACAATGTCAAAGCCAATAAATATAGGGACCTAGATTGCAGGATGGCGATCGGGCGTACACTGGGAGTGCCAGGCGTGGACATAAAAGTACTGCCGCTCACAATAACTTGGAGAGGAATATGGTGTCGAAGATCTTTCCAAGACATGGATATGTTGGGAATTCCCAAGAGAACGATGAACGCTATTACAATAAGAGTCCTTAAAGGGTCCCACATGAATTACAGTAATTGGTTCAGGCTGCTTCCTCGTTTATAGCATGATACTCAATGATTATATCGATGTCATAATTTACATTTTTACGTTTTGTTTTATTTATCTTTATTTTTTATTTTATTTATCTATTTATTTATTTCATTTTTATTCGTTTAATTTTATGTTTATTTATTTACTTTTTTTATTTTTTTTTTTTTTTATTTTTTTTATTTATTTATTTTATTTTATTTATTTATTTTTATTTATTTTTTATTTATTTTTTATTTATTTTTTTTTTATTTTTATTTTTTATTTATTTAGATATGTACTATAGTACTACTTTTTTATGACTTATATTGCGGAGGGATTGCTACCTCCGTGGTTTTTAAAATTACTTTATATATAGTGTGTATTTTATGTATGTATATGAATGTATGTATATTTTTCTTTTATACTTTTATCGACGCAGCTGCTTTTTGTATGTAAATGCAATGCTCAGTATATTATAACTTAATATTAGTATGTTTTCTTTTTTTTTATATATGATTCTTGGATTCCAATATCCAAGATAAAACGTTACGATGGTGAAGGTAGCACCAAATTGAATTGGAAATTGAGAAAGGTCTGGAGTTTTGTTACTTCGAAAAATATATTAACTATGTATGAACTACCAAATAAATAAATAATACCTTTACACAAAAAGGCCTTGTAGTACAGCAATTCTTCTTGGTCCATCAGAAGATGGAGCTCTTTCTCCCTCAGCAGCTTAGCCATTAGTGGATCAAACTACCTCATTGGTGGGTCAGACAAGGGGATCGAAATTCTTAACCCAACCAACCTCCATGTTCCATGAAGAACTGTAAGACCCAATAGTCCAGGAGGGTCCAAATGATTTTGATTCTCGAACTGATGGTGGGAAATTAATTCCTTAGGGTAACCCCTTTTAGCATTGTCATCAATTCCATTCTTCTAATGTGCTCTCCCAGTGTAACTCGTCCATCTTTTTGGATCTTCACAGTTCCTCACATCGAGATCCACCAAGTCTTCCCTAGTTATCTTGTGCTGAAAATAGTCTTCTCACTCAAGATTAATAGGGATACTTCCAGCTAAGACCTCTACCACACTTTATCAGACACTATTTGGTATACTTTGTGATCCGCATTAAAGAACAGTAGAGAACTGAGTGGCTAGGATCTTTTTAGAAATTAATGTCATTAGAAGAATGATTTGGTAAAGACCCAAGAAGACTTGAGATACGGGTATCAAGGGGATCATGGATAAAAGAGACATTGCCTGGAGGAGGAGGCTGCAGTTGTTATGGGGTTGGGCTATGTGGATTCTAACTTAAATGTACACATCTCATACTCCTCAGTGATAGAAGAGATTACAATCAAGAATATAAATAATTTTATTTGTTATTGTTGAAATGTGAGCTAAAGTATACAAATTGCTAACTGACTTGAATTATTTCCTTTGTTTTCAGGCTACATGGTTCCTATGAAGCCCTCAAGTATGGTACAATGCTAGATGGTCTTTCAGATCTTACGGGTGGAATTGCTGAAAGCATTAGTCTGAGGCATGACCCTACCACCTGTGGCCGACTTCTAAATAACCTCCTAGATATGACAACTATAGTAACCTGTACTGTTCAACCACCCAATCAACCTGTGAGTTTGCACTATCAATTAATTTTTATATCAATTTAATCTTTATGAAAACGTTGCACCTGTAATAAATAGTATTCTACTTTCCAACACAATAATGCTTGTCATCATAAGGTTTAAAGATTGATTGTCTGTTTTATCCCAGAACGAAAATTAAAATGTTCTGTTTTATACAAACACAAATATGACTATAATTATTATTCACATATAAATAAATAATTTTAGTTCACAAAATTATTTTTATAAAGGTATAAAGTATAGACCAAATAAAACATTGTAAACCATGGTTGCAGATTAGAAATAACATTGAAAAGTTGGCTAATGGGATACAAATTGGCATTAACTATCGATTATACGCTGTTGAAAGGGTAAGTTTTTCATTTTTATTTTACAAACATATCAAAGAATAAATAATAACAATGAATTTCATTAAAAACTAATGAAATTATTTCCTGATATTTTTAAGATACCAATATTATTAGATAGTAGTAAACTTTTACCAAAACCCATCATGCTCCTTTAACAGGTGGAAACTATAAGTGGAGAAGGTGTACAGCTTGTGAGGTTACGGAATCCTCTTGGTACAGGGGGAGGAGAATATGTTGGTACTTGGTCAAGAGGTTGTACTAACTGGTCCCAAGTTCCTCATCAAGAAAAGGAAAGACTGGGTTTGTCACATAGTCCTGAACAAGAGTTTTGGTAAGTTTTCTAATATTTTTACTCTGAAGGACCCAAATTGATCAATAATTTATTTAACATAATGTAATGTAGGGGTCTAGTATAGCAGAGTGGTTAGTGTGCTATACTAATAAAGTGAAGACCATAGGATCAAATCCCGGCCCCTAATTCCCAGTACGGCTGGTTGTACTTTAAATTAAACCATACCCCCTTAATTAGCCTTAGGAGAGCTACAAGCTGAAAATAACTTTTAAAAAGTTAAGATTTTTACTTCTAATCTTATACACCAAATAAGTAAACTTTGCAATATAGTCAATAGTCACAAAGGAACACTTTGATAGTATATAACTAAATACAGTCAATCATCTGGAATTAAAAGTTATTATTTACTTTTAAATGTTTGTTTTTTTTAAGTGGTGAGAGAATCTTCTTGAGGGTTTGATATTATATCATTAAAACATTTAATTTAGTAAGATTTTTTTTCAATCCATTATGTTGATAACATTTAACTTATTATATCAAGTTTATATTAAGTTTAATTTACATTTTTAGGATGTCATATAGTGAATTTGTCAAAACATTTACTCATATTGAAGCTGTGCATTTAGATAGTGAGACAGCTAAAGATGAACCATCATTACACAATAAGCAAATGTGGCAAATGAAACTTTACCAAGGGGCATGGATTAAAGGTGTCACTGCTGGAGGGTGTAGAAATAACCCAGGTATTCTCAATTAAATGATATACCTGTTTTAAGTAAATAATTCCTTTTTCATAATTATATTCATTTTTAATTTTCAGAAACATTCCATATCAATCCTCAGCTCCATCTTATATTAAGTGAAATGGAAGAAGTAATTATTTCCCTAAACCAACATAGTATAATGGAACCAAAGGTAATTGTCAGTAAAATATATTAAATACATAATTAATAAGTCAATAAATAGAAAACTATTCACTTACAGGTCATCCATATTTTTCTTTCACTTTAATTTCTTTTAAAAGAATTGTATCATTAATTTACTGTGATTAGTTTATAATCAAATATCTCAATGTAAAAACTGATTTCATTATTATTATAATTTGACTTATTATATATTTTTAGGTCATTGGTTTCACAGCCTATTCGTTACCAAAGAATGCTACTGAAACAGCAGGAAAGTCATTTTTTAGAAAGAATAAGTCACTAGTCAATTCTCAGTATTCTAATAGTCGACAGGTGATTTTTAATTTTAATTTCTTTTCTGTTTTAATTTTTTTTTATAAATAATAATAGTAAAAATACTATTTAAATTCAGAATTTCTTAGTGCAGAACCATAGGTCTATTTTCTGGCTGCCGGGATCAGTGAATTTTGACAAACAAGGTGTCAAAAGAAAGGAAATTTCATAGAGAATTGATGAACCTCAACTTAAATTTGTTCTAAAACTTTTATAAAAGATATTTAAAAATATAAGTGGCATCAATACTCTGATGTTAATTGGCAGATCAAGAGAGAAGTCAGGCTTTAAAGATTTTGAGGAGGGTATCAATACCTGGTCTGGACATTCATATATAAGGAACCAGGTCATTGGTGCTTCAGTGGTTGAGTGAGTCAAGGCGCCAGCAAAAAAAAAATAGACTCAACGTGTAGAGGCATGAGTTCAAATCCCGTTAGCAAGATTTAATTCCAAAAAATAAATTAATAATAAATAAGTGCTAGCACTACATGACTGCTTAAACCATTATAGAATTGGTAACTAAGTCCTAAAATTTGCAGTTTATGAAATAATCCATAATTCAAGCCGGCAGTCACCAAGTAGTAAGAATAATTATAACATGTCATTTATATTTTAAAAATTAAAATATTGCAATTTATTGTAGTCTATAAAAAACTTAAATGAAGGGAAGTAATTCTGAGATCATCCCTTGGACTGATATGTTATGGAGACATATTTTAATTTTTTTAGTTGTTAATATCATCATAACAGTAATGAAATTTTTATCCAGTTTTGGCTTCTATCTCCCACTCTTTACAGGAAAGAAAAAGATAAATCAAGGATTCTGTTCTTTTTACCAACCCAATAGGTCTCAATGAGTAAAACTTTGTGTCAGTTTAGATTTACAAAAGTTCTTCCAAAGGATATGGGACGATAAAAGAATTCCTCGGGAATGGGAGTACAACGTGATGATCCCCATTCACAAGGAAGGAAGTCAAAGCAATATTGCTCCAAATTCAGACCTATTTGCCTGTCTCCCGTGGTCTACAAATTATATACTGCTATCTTAAAGAACCTAACAACAAGGCCAATGGTGGAGCCTATCCTGCAAGAAGAGCAAAGTGCTTTTATGCCGAACAGACAAAGGCAAGATTTTCCCCTGCGGAATGTGATAGAAGTTCTGGGTCCATGACAGTAACGTTTGTCGGGCATTCTTGGACCTGAAGGTGGCATTCGATTTGGTGCACCAGACAGAAATTTGGGAGCCTTTAAGGGCAAAGAACATTCCTCAAAAGCTACTAAATGCTATAAAATTGATGTACCAGGAGCCAAAGGGTATTGTGCGTCTTTGACGGGATTCAGGAATGTTTGATATAGAAAAGGAAGTGAAACTAGATGACTCTCTGATGACTTCTCTTCATTGTATATATGGATGAGATTGCCTTTATTTGCAAAAGAAGCACAGCCGGAACGCGCATGGGACAATGGAACTTACATCCTGTAGTCATACAGTTCCTCCTATTTGCAGATGATATCATTGCCAAATCCCTAGAGCGACTTCAACAGGTAGTAATAGAGTAGAATGAACAACAAAACAGAAAGAGAATGACTATTAATTCGAAAAAAAAACAATGTCCTCCAAGTTAGTAGACCTCCATATGTCCATATTGTCTGTAGTGGAGAGTTGATGGAGGTTGCGATGGATTTTACGTACCTTAGCATGATGATCAATAGAACTGGTAAAATAGATTCTGAAATCTCAAGCAGAATCTCCAAGCCATACTCTGTTTATTACTAGATCTATAACTCGGATGTCGGAAAAAGGGAAGTGGGACAGGATGTAAAGCTTCACTTATTCATGTCTGTGTTCCTACCACAACTTCTGTATGGAGCAGAGAGCTGGATTATGAAAGAGACTACTAAGCCCTATCAATGCCTCGGAAATGAAGTTCCTTAGGAGAATAATGGAGAAAACACAAGAGAGACAGTGTACGGAATGAGATGATTAGAGAAGAACTGAATGTACACCCCTTAACAGAAACTAGAGAAGAGGCAACTGAGGTGGTATGGCCATGTCTGCTGAATGGATCTCCACAGACACCCAATTAAAACTATGGAAGATAGACCATTTGAAAAAGACCAAGAGTACTTCCAAGTACCTCTTATTTCATCCACTTGGAATTAATAAGGAGATGTAAAGGGAAGAACCTGGAAGAAATGAGAAACCTTGCCAGACAGAAACTCATGGCACTGGTGGTTAGAAGCACCGCCATGCTGAAAGACAAATAGGTGGAAGAAAAAGAAGATCGCAACTAAATAAAGTCATAAGTACTTATACATTTAAGTACATAGAACTATCTTTATGTTTACTATTTTCTTAATTTAGACCGGATGTTTACAGTTAAGCTAACATAATTTAATAAATTTCTATTTGTAATTTAAAATTTTATTTATTTTTTAACAGGTCAGCCTCAGGTGGCAACTGGAACAGGGTGGTTATTTAGTGTTACCAACAACATTTGAAACTGGCCAAGAGTCTAGTTTCACACTTAGGGTTTATTCATCAAAACAACTCAAACTGAAGTAAGTTAGAGTTGCACTACGTATGTAAATTAACAAAATTTTTTTTATCAAATTTTCAATATAATAAATCAACTTAGCTTACTTTTTTAGGCTTATTATTTTCAATAATGAACCATTGTAATCGACCAAAAAATTCAAAAACTTAATCCCCCTTCAAAATTTGAGGTTTTATGTTTCAGGATACGTAGAATTCGAAAATCGAATAAAAATTTTTTTATCTGTTCGCACATTTTCTCCGAAACTACTGGACCGATTTTTTCCAAATTTGGATTTAAAGTCAGAGTTCACCCGAGAATGATCCTCCGGCATCGGCATTACTATCCGCATTTTCCTTTCAAGATGGCGGCGAAAAACCTGTTTTGCTATAGACTGTAGCGCCTAAACCAATGTACCAATTTCAATGAAACTTGGCTAAAGTCTTCTTCTCGATGCCCTGTAAATTTATCTATATAACATACTTCAATGAAAAGAAGCTGGAAAAACTTATGAGGGGTGGTAACATTTTTTCGATATTATATGTGGTTATTTAAAAGTTTATGAAATTTCCTAATAAACAAAAAAAAATAGTTAAAGTTGGACAATTCAGAGCAAAGATATGGTCTCTTTGATATTTGTTGTATGTTCTACTGTAAACGTTTTATCCTTGGTTTTGGTTTTTGATTTTTGAAAGTGTTACTGAAGTAATGCTGTTTTGTTTTTAGCTAATTACTGATGATGAAAAAATATGTTGTTTAGGCCAATAATAGGAATCATCTTTTATTTCTTTTTCTTTGTTACTAGGAAGGTAATATTACTTAGATGTATAATTGTTTGAAAATAATAAACCATTGTAAAATAATTTGCAGAGTTTTAATATCCATTTGGAAAACAAATCAATTACAAAGTAAATTTATTTGATCTTCTTTAATAACTTTGAATGTTATACAATGCTATAACTATTCAAAGCACTAATGGCTAATCCTATTTTTCAACTTACAGGTTACTAGACACAGCTCCATCAGTTCTTAAATCGGCAATAATTAAGGTGAAAATTATGTATTTATTATTATTGTTATTTTAAAAAAAGTAATATCCCACAAATAGTATTAAAAAGGCTTCTTCTCCAAAATTCCCATTTATCTTCTTCAAGAAATACTATCCATACTACAAATATGATTTTCAAGTTTCATTTTATTTTTGAAGCTTAATAATTAGTTATTATCTTTGTTTAAATTAAATATATAAATAGAATAAAATTTTGTATATTGTCTCTATTTTTCTTTTTCGATTAGGTCTCTTCAAAACTTTCTCGCTTTTTATTCATAACAGTTTATAGTTCAAAAATTATTGTTGGAAATATTTTTAAGCTTTATTTATTTATGTTTTACAAAATTTAATGGTTGAAATTATTCAATAAATATTAAATTAAGCATAAATTGTATGGATATCATTATAATCTCTGAAGGCACATCTTAGTATCAGCAAGCTCTCACATGTTCATCAAGGTGTGTGTGATGTGAGAGTTTCCTGAATGCTGCTCTTTACAGATTCACTCATACAGATGTATTCACACAAAGGTGGACTTCCAAAAGATGAAAGACTTGGGCGTTATGGTTTTCCACTTCTAAATCTAAAATAGACATTTTAAATATTTGGCTGTAATGGTACATTTTAACTGCCTTAGAAAAAGTTTGACCATAAAAAGAATTAAAATAATAAAAAGAATTGTGGGAAACTCCCAAAAGAATATTGAAAATAGTAAAAAATTCCTTATTTAATTTTTTTTCTTCTTTACTGTTATGATATCTCATTCATAAGCATTTTTGAGTAATAGTTGGAATAAAAATTATAAGATTATATTCAATATTAGATTTTTAAACTAAAATTAATTAACAGAATAATAAAAACATTTAATCTTATATTGCAATGAGTTTATCTTCTCTTCCATCACTTTTTCTGGCCTGCGACATTAAGGAAATAAACCAATCCAGCCTTTTTAGGTCCTGTATTGAATACTGAGGAGACTATGGAAGTACCACTATCAGGTCGTGATGGGCGAGCATGTGTAGTGTGTAACAAGTAGCAAGTGTAAACTTTAACATTCTCGAGTCTATCGATGATGTTTCAAATCCGACCTGGGTGACTTAAAGTTATTTAGTGGGGGAACTCACGGAATGAATCTCGATCCTCCCACTCTAGTTAAATTAGGTTTAATTGTCCTCTAGAAGAACCCCCTGCTTGACAGAAATGGCCAGGTAAGGGTACCGATAACAAAAAAAAAACCATTTGGTCATATTGGTTCAGAGCAGTATCTAAATTATGTAGTATCTATGGTCATCATTATTACCAAATTGAGTATCTATCATTAAATTTAAAAATAAGTGATTAGCTACCAAAAACCCTGGTTTGTCCTCCTTGTTTATCCACATGTGACTAGAACACCGCCATAGGTTTATCTGAGGATTAATTATTAATATTTTTTTGATTAATAAGTAAATTTAATGCTTCTTAATTACTTTTTAGGCTCCTGCTACACTAGACAACAAAAGTTTTAGTCAGTATGAAGCTGTATTCTTGCAATTAGCTGATGAACATAGAACTGTTAACTCTTTTGAACTACAGGAACTTTTGGATGCCTGTCTTCCTAATGGTATATATTAGATAATGACAAGCAGGTTAAACATTTATATACTATTTAAGTTGATGAATTTTCAATAAACTTGTTTTATTACAGATTACATTAAAAGCTGTGCTTGCTTGGAAGTTTGTAGACAAGTAGTCATGACTTTGGATGTATCCTTTGTATTACATTTGTTAAATTTATTAATATTTATTGAGTATTTGCTGCTACTCTATACATTCTTTAGAGTAATAAGAGTAATAGAAAACATTAGGATAGAGAATCCACTTATACAACTTTTCATTTGTAAAAGGTACTATTTACTAAATCTTCTGATAATAGTGCTTATACTGATACTGATAATAGTACTTACTAAATACTGATAATCTTCTGATAGGCACCTCTAAGAGTCACATTTCAGTTTAAAGCACCTGCCATTAATTATTTTATTAAGTAGATATTAATCTGAGAAATAAATTAAATAAAAAATTATTCCTCATTTTTTTTTTATCTATAAATTTATTTTCCCAATTCATGTGAGACATTAAATTTTGCCATCAAATGATTAAATTTTTACAAAGCCTTTCTATTAAATCAGTCCTCTCTATCCATTTTTCTCTATTCTCCCTTGAGTTCAAACAGAATCAGTGGAAGAGGTACTACAAGGTAGAGAGAGTAGACCTCTCTCTTATCATCATGATTTTTTGGAGAAATTCAAATGTGTAAATTAATATAAAATTCATGAAAGTTCTATCTGCAGTTGATGCCACAATTAGAAAAAAATAATAACTGAAACAATATATCTTGTATAAATCGCTTGATTTTCCTTGACCAAAGCTTTAGAGCTGTGGTAATGGCAGGCTGAAACTGAGTGACTTCAAGGATCTTATGTGTAGCCTGAAAGCTTGGCAGACAGCATTTAAAAATCACACAAAAGAAAAAACAGGGATTCTGAAAGCAGAGCGGTTGAGAGATGCTCTTTATGAAGTTGGTAAGTCATACTATAAGTAAAAATACAATGCTTTTAAGCTAAGGTGACCAGATTTTAACTTTTATAAAGCAGGATACTATTGACCGACCGGGGAGGAAGGGTTCTTGATTAAAAACACTTGGTTCAAATTTGTTGTTACAATAATTAAATTTTACATAATGCAAATATATTCATATAACATTGCCGAAAACCATATATTCTCTTTTCATTTTTCTGCTGTCTCTAGCTTGTCGTGTATTCATTCCAAATATCGGAACTTTTTTAAAATTCAGCAGGAGGCGGGACAAATAATTAAAAAAAGGGATATCTGGTCACCTTTTTTTAAGCAGAGGCCAGGTGTTTATTTATTTTTATGTTTCATTTGAATTTGGGCCAATTGTACAATTGGAGTTCAAGCTTGAACTATAGCCAATCAATCATTCATGATTTTCATTTTTTACTTAAATATATATTTTTTCAATTAATAAAAATAATTTTAATTTAAGAGACAATGCTTGGGAACAAAAGTGAATGTTTCCCTTTCACTCAATTGCTATTTAACCAACTTTAGTTTAACACGTCTGGCTAAAATAATTTATTTCAATTTTATAAAAGGTATCGTTAAAGATAATATATGCTATTTTTGACAGTATTATAATTGATCCAAGAGGTAAAAAGTAGTCAAATGAAGCAATGCGTTTTATATTTTTCAAATAAAAAGCAAATTAAATAACATAAAATAATAAATTTGACATTTAATATAAAAAATACAATATGCTGTCGGTAGTATAAATTAAGAAATTTAAATAATTAAGAACACTAATAATTATTTATTTTTCAAATCCCAAACAATATTTTATATTTCTTTTTAGGTTTTCAACTAAGCACTGATGTTCTTGCAATATTAGTCCTGAGATACATGAGAAAAGATGGCACATTGAGATTTGGAGACTTCGTGTCAGCTATTTTACATCTCAGCCTGGCTTTCAGTATGTAGTCCAAAATTTATTTTCATGTCTTAGATTATCTAAGACACCAATCATTTTTATCCTGTTTATCATAAAATATATTTCAAAATATTATTCTATTTATTGATATTGTATTTTTCAGACATTTTTGAATCTCGAGACCCATTACAAAATGGGACAATAAAATTGAGTATAGCAGAAGTGAGTATTTATTTTTTAAAATATTAAATATATTTTTCAACAAACATATTCAATTAATATTGATTGACTATTTACTAAGTCAAAGAAAGTCCTAGATACTAAATAATTACCAAACACTATCTACTTATCCTTTTGTCTTATATATTATGGAGGGTTAACATACATATACATTTATTATCTAACTACTCATAGTTCAGTCATAACTTGCAAATTCAAACCTCAGGCCTTATCAAACATACTCCACTTTTGCTGTTGGATACACACCTTGTTATTCTGATGCTTTGATTAATGGTTGAGTTGGCAGCATTGAAAAGAGTGTGATTGTGAGATTGAATATAAATGATATTGGTTTTAGAGCTGACAAAAAGGAGTATTTTTTGCATAGGTGCAGAATTTTCATTTTAATAAGGGACAATAGACAAAAAAAAAAAGAAAAGAAGAGGGTGGGAGTTTTATTACTTTTTAAAAGTTAAGTTAAATTATAGTGAATATAATTATTGTGGAACAAACAATATAACACTGAATATTTAAAAATAAATTTATTTATATGTTTATATAAATATAGGTTTTTTTGTGTGAGTATGGATAATATTTAAAAATTTCTGAACAAAATATTTCTTTAACTTTTTCACCTAAAAATAAATTATGTTAAAAATTGAAAAATATTTTCCTTAAGGTAAAAATATAGTCCTTAAGGTATTGAATAAGAGACGTTCAATACATAAGAAGCTATTGTGAGACTGGCTGTGATATGGACCAAATTCTGACTTCAATAAAACTTTATTAAAGGCTAAAAGGAATCAACAAAATTGTGTATCAATTGGAAAAGAAAGCAGGATGAAACATAATTCAAAATTAAACTGAAAAATAAATTCAAAGGAGGCTTCAGGGTTGATCAATATTTATTAGTCAACAGGTATTAGAGAAAATTTCTTTTTTTTTAAACGGTAAGAAAGTAATATCAATTCAGCAAAAAGGTAAAGACAAGAAGTGTTTTATAGAAAAGGTCATAAAAGAAAACAGAAAAATCAACACCTTGCTAAAACTGATCAAGCTACTCTGGACAAGTAATAGCCTCCAGAAAAAAGACAAATTAAATTACTGAAAATAACTGGCCAACTGAAAATATATACAAATTATATGCTTATATCAGAAAAGAAGGTATGATATAAAGCAAGAAACCCATAAATGAGAGGGAAGTATCTCAAGTAAACTGATAGCATCAACAATAAGATATTAAATATCTCAAAGAACATTTCCTGCAACTTCTCAATGAAGGGATGCCTACAAACAAAGCAGAAGACATGAATCATGCAAAAAGAATAATTATGATAGTTCTGGTCATAAAGCAGTGTAATGACAAAGTTGAAAACATCATTACTACTGAATTCTTTTTTTACTTCATAATAAATTAATTTCAGTCATTGCAATTTATGCTTCCATTAAAACAACTGAATATTACAATAAAAAAATATTGTTTGGGCTTATAAAACTCACAGTTGACCTGAAATCACCATGGAACACCAAAACGACGTTTTTATTGGAATGAAACACATATTCTCTATTGTAGTACATAACTAAAATGAACCTATTCAATTTGGTACTTTTTTTATTTCAAAAAGAAAATATAAATACATTTTTCTATTGTTTTTTTTTTAATGTAAAGAGCCAAGAAAAATCTGGTACAACAAACCTGTAAATTAAAAAAAAAATGCCAGCTCAAGCATTAAAAATATAACTTTTGTATATAAATAATACAAATCCAGTGAAGATGCATGATAATTTATACCTGAAAATGGCTCATGAACCCAAAATGTCAGCAATAATAAAAGGATTTTAAAGGAAGCGAATTTTTAATTGTGAGAGGACTGCCTACTTTTTAACTTCAACCTGGAATGTACAGTGTGGAAAGCCAACATCCAAGTTGGAGGAACAGTGTTTAACAAAGCCGCTACGGTCCTGGGATTTGCAGATGACGTTGATGTGATTGGGAGGTCTTTTGAAGCAATGAGGGATGCCTTTCTATAAGTTCAAAGAGAAACCGCAAGAGTGGGACTTGCCATTAATGAAACAAAGACATATGCTTGAGGCCGGGCAGGTGTATATTGGCCAGTACAGTTTTGAGAGAGTTAAACAATTCTGCTATCTTAGAATCCAGGTGAATGTAACAGCAGAAATGATATTAATGCTGAAATCCATCGACAAAAATTGGCTGCTAAGTGGTGCTATTATGGTATTCTGACACATCTTAAAAGCAAAGATGTCTCCAGGACAACCAAAGGTGCATCTGTATAAAAACTTATCAGACCTATGGATCTGAATGCTGTACTCCCAAAAACTCTTCCAAGATTTGAGTGCTGGATTCTCTGCAGAATCTATAGTGATGGTGACTGGAGACAACATAGCAATATAGAACTGATGGCACTTTACACTGACACTGATATCACCATATTCATCAAGAAAAGTCTACTACAGTGGGCGATTCATGTGGTGAAAATGACCAATGACCAAATCCCAAAGATGCTGGATGAATGGCTGGGTGGACCAACATGGGTCAGCAGACTGAATCTGTGCTGGGCTTATGGTGAGGCAGAGGACGCTCATACCCTCCTTGGCATACAGAACTGGAGAGAAGCAGCAAAGCAGAGAGATGACTGGTGGTCGTTAATGCGAGTGCCCTTACTACCTCGCGGAGTGTAGCACCAATTTTTCCTTTATAAAAGTACAATTTGTTTAATTCTATTCTTTTTATCTAGCCAACTATTAATAATTAAAAATTCTCAAGGACCATTGTCTAGTGAATTTTTCATGGTTGCCTAGGATTACTGTAGATAACTTTATCACCCAATGTGTGGTTTATACTGAACTTTAATAGAAATCAGTGGGGTCTGGTCACACAACT